ACTGATGGGGCATACTGCTGATTCCATGTCCATAAAATCTGGAGAGAATTCAGGGCACACAGACTGGTTTCCCTTCAGCCAAGATGGAAAAGCCTGAATTCATTTCTCCAGATTGGAAGATTAAGAGGTGCTTAGCTGCCCAGATTGCATCCCCAATTCTATGCACAAAATTGGCCCTTACTACATTTATATACTTTTGAAACAGAGAGAAATTAATGCAGTCTCTAAAATATTGTCTGTTAGGGATACAATAGAAGTTCTATACAATTTGGGAAATTAACACATTTGGAAATGAGTATGACATACTAATCATAAAACAAATTCAGGAAAAGTTGTATTCCTTCAGTGAGTATTCTCACTTGCCATTCACATCCAGCTCATATAGGCACTATTTTGGTACAATCCATAAAAAGCAGGAGCACTTCTCCATAGTGGCGAAGTCCATATTTGAGACATGGATGATGTTATTTCTTCAAGTGGTGCCTACTCACAATGGCCTGTTCACTGTTATGTTTCTATGGTGAATTTTTTTCTGGTTCCAGGAAAATTTGAGCCCCTTTACACATTGCCAGCTTTTAAAGGAAAGGCAAAACTTCCCCTTAGGTGTAATTAATATGTTTTTATTACTTGTGGTAGAAATAAGGGGGGTGTCCCATGATGTTAATGGAAACAGGGAGTTCTCTTAACTCTGCTTCAACCACTTGTAGAGGTTTTCTCCTCCAGCCCTCCATTGTGATTTTTCAGGCAGCAGTGACCACAGTATCCATCTGTGTTGGATTTTAATGAGAGAGCAATGAAGAATACAGAAAAAACCCCTGAATTAATAAAAAATTGATCAGGTGTCAGTTCTTAGGATAATTCAGGTGGAGAGGGACCTCAGGAGGTCACCTCAGTGAGTCTCCAGCTCAAGCTGTTCTGTCAGTGTTTGTAAGACTTCTTATTTCAGCACTCTAAAGTTCTGAACCTGGTTCTAACTCTACATTCACTGAAGCTGTTGGGATCTGGGTCCATTTTAGTAGTTAGCATTTCTTAAATATCTGTCCAATCTGCCTGTGAAGGTTGCATTCAATTCCCTGTAACCTTTGAATAGTTTTTATTTGGTATAGATACAGCAAAGACAGACTTGTCTTCTCACTCAGCTCTGAAAGCTTTCATTTTGTTTGACAACATTTATACTGAGCTTGGCTCATTCTCTCACAAGGAGAAAGTATGCAAACTTTACATAGAAGTGGGCAGAAAATTTGGCTACACTTGTTTGCTATAGCAAACACCAACTCACAGAAAGGCAAACATTATACTGATTTTGTTCAAACTTGGAGAAAACATGTCTGGTGCCCAGTATGGAATTTTGGATCAAAATGACAAAGGAAAATGCAGAAGCAACTGCAGTTTGAGACCTAGAGTATTTATACGGATGCTGCCTATTTGCATTTCTCATCTTGTTTTATTGTTTACGCCCACCCTCTCTCTCAGCCCTATGAATCATACTTTCTCCAGGTGTAATTCTTTTGAAATGTCAAATTCTTTGTGGCTTGGAAGAATAAAAAAAAAAAAAACCTCATCATTTCCATCCATACCACATCTAGATGTGAAACCTCATCTTTCATGGGCTGAAGTCCTGCTTCCAGAGAAGCAGCATGTGGCTGGGCTGGTTTGATGACCCTGTGCCATCCCTGGAATACAGTGGAGGAGACTGCTTAGAACATTTTGTGCCACTCTGGAGTGAATTCCTGAGCCAGGCTCTGCTCTGACACATTTCCATCCATCCCCTGCAATGCATGTGGCAGCAGTATTCCATCTGTTTCTAATGAGGCATAGCGGGGGAGGAAATCTTATGCATAAACATCTCCCACATCACTTATGATTCCATTGAAGAACTTCTCTGCAACAGTATTTGTTTGTGACAAAGATTTTTAGCTATTTGTTTATTTTAATACCTGTGGATGTCAAAGACAAGAGATTAGCCAGTTCCTAAACCTGGCAAATTCCTTGGGTGAAATTTTTCCTCTGTTTTGAGAGCCAATTCCAGCACAAATTCTTGTTATAAAGGTCTTGCCTATATTTTCCAAAGTATAGATAATAATTTTGCATGTACCTGTTCTATTTTAGGGGTGAGGCAGTTGTAGCTAGATTTAACTCTAAACAAAGAGCAAACTGTTCTTTATTTAGCTTCAGTTATAAACATGTTATAGCAAAATATAAATGGAGAGTGAAACAAAGAAACGAAAACTTCCACTTTGCAGAAGCATTCTTTTAAAATGTACATTTCTTTGTAGGGAAGAGCACTGCAATGATTTTTTTTTTAGAGACAAATAGTTTACTGTGATGTGTATGAAATAGAATTTTGATAGACAGAATAAGCTGCAATCCAGTTCTAAACTATAGATTTTCAAGCAGATTGATGCAACAAATTGTTAGCAAATAGCAGTTTGCAATTTGATGCTAATTAGACATAAGGCAAATATGTGCCATGACAAATTAGCAGCAAACCATACTGAAAAGTATTAGCAAGAGCTGGCACAGAGACTGCTCGATTTTGCATACTTCCTTGTCTTAGTCTAGGAGGTCTGAGCCAGTTTTCCTTCTCTGTAAATAAGAAACCAGAGCAGAGATCACAGGCATGCTAGAATGCCTTTAATTGCATATTTGAAATGTTTTAACTCTCTCTTAATCCCATGGAGGCTTTTCTCCATACCACCAGCTTTATTATCCTGGGAGATGATCAAGTACTTTATCCATTTAATATTATAACTAAATACATTATGAGGTAAGTAACTCACAGGGTTATTTACTTTAGTAAGTCTATTGTACGTATAGATTCAAGAAAAAGCCCCATTCTTATTCAAAACACCTTTGCTTAATGTCCTGAAAACGTGTTTTTCAGCAGATTTAATTATTCATTTCCTTAATAAATTAATTTTTTCTAGAGGATTATCACATTTCTTTATTGATGTGCACAATGCCATTGTAGTAGTTAGTGCAGATCAAACTCATCACCTTATCCAGATGAGATAATGCAGTTGTGTTTTCAAACCAGAGAGAAGCAGGGGGTGGTTTTTAAGTCAGTTCTTCAGACTTATGCCTGAATACCAGCACACCTGTAAGTATGACTTTAGAACTAAAGCAAAAACTACTCTTGAATCTTTGAAGGGTGATGTAATTTCACTAGGATCAAGAATGCTAAAGAAAAATCAAAGTAAAAATACCTGTTTGTTAAATTTAAGCAGCTTATTCTTTATGTGCCTATTTTTTTTGTTTGCTTTTTTAAAATTAAGAGTAATTCTGAGGTAAACCATCACATTCCCCAAGCTTTCTACTCATATTTGCTGGTGTGTACTTCAGTTTGGCTATGTAAAATGACATGTTTATACTTCAAGGAATCATTGGGTAGATCAGAGGTTCTTCAGTACAGTTCCTCATTCAAATCTGACTTTCTAGGGCATACAAGACATTTGACTTACTAGGCTGATGGTTGTTGTCTAAAATTATATATATATTACATTCCCAGCATTTCTATGTCTATATATGGATCAAAAAGATTGTTAGAAATAGTTCAAAGGTGCTAAAACATTATGTAGTTAGATGTAAACACACATTTCTGTTACCAAAATAAATGAAGTGGGAAAATAAAAGCATATTTTGCATAAAATATTGTTCTTTCATAAGTCTTAGAAAGAATTCCTCAGACAATTTAAACCACAATCAGTAACAAGTTTTGCCACATCACTGTCTTCCCACACAAACAGTATGATAATACACTATTAATGATTTACAAAAAGGTGATGAAAGTAGTTGTGCTGTTTAAAAAGAAAAAAGTGAGAACTCCAGGCTTTCCCTGCAATTTCTGAAGGGATCTCTATATTATTCACATGAAAATCACTGTCCTGTAAAAGCTTCTGTGTGCACTGAGGCCTGGAAAAGATGTTTCTAGTGTTGCCAGGCTGTCTCACTCAGTGTTTGCCTGCTCCCTTTTGCCAATGTTTTTGCCACATCACATCAGAAATTTGGGCAATGATCTTTATGCTGGTGCAAAATCTTAGAAAAGTGAATTGACTTCCCTCTGGGCACAAAGCTTTATTTCCTTTTTGTTGTCCCTGCACAGACTAATGGTGAATTCTTGGTAAGCAGTTATTTTTCTGTATTGAAAGAGTGTAGCGAGCCATCAGCAGGCAAATGTAGGCTGAAAATTGTAATAGTTAAAAGGGATGTTGTTAAAAATTTTAGGATTACATGCAGTGTATAAATAGTTGTAATTTCCAAAGGGCAAATCATTTCTAGTCAAGCCTTTCCACATGGTATCTTCCTTGACAAAAGCATCACACATTTTCTGCCCATAATGTTTCTCCCAAACACCCCCACTGCTCAGTTCAATGACAGCTTTCCTGGCAGTGCCTGAGCAGATTTTACATTTTCCTGTAGATGCAGTGTCAGCCCAGATAGTGCCTGGGAGAGCTTTGCTGCTCGTGGCTGCCGTGGCAAATCTTTGTGCTGCAGGACAGATGTTCTGCACCGTGCAGGGGATCTGGGCCATGCAGCACCCACGGACTTGGAGCAAGTTGGATGTTGGGGATCTCCACTGGCCACAGCCACCTCCCAGTTCCAGGCCTTGTCACCAGCTGTAAGTAGGGTGTTGCATTGGTTTTTTTGGGATTGGGCTTGAATTCTTCTCTTCTGGCTTCTCCCACGTGGCTTTTGGGGAATACAAAGCAGTTGTGAGTTTTTTGAATGTAGATTTTTTTTTTATAGATAAGAAGAAAAAGATAAAAATCATGGGGCAGGAAATAAATACTTGATGAAAATGAAACCTACATAAATTTCTTAAATGGCGCAACACACACATGCAAAAAGCCCCCAGAATAAGGGAAGCAGTGATTTTGTGGGTTTGTAGAGATTATTTCATTTGGCTTTGGAAAAGATAGGCGATGTTAAGTTAGAGCAAATTCATCCTGATAAAGCACACATTTTTTGACAAATGTATTATCTCTTTAGATCATGGGATTAATAAGATACATTGTCCTCAGGAAAATATGTGCACTCATGGAGAACCTCATTGATGTTGCTGCAGAGAGGTGAGTTCAAAAGGCCAGATATTACAAACAGCTTTTTGAGGCCATGAAGAAAATTTTTTACTTGAAACCATAGAAGTTCGCATTTGTGTCACTTATAGTGGGCAGCTGTACATTTACCTAAGTTATGTGCATGTTTATTTGTGTAAAGATACATATGCATGAAAAATGCAGATGTGCTACAAATTTGACCTTCCAGGTCCTGTTTGTTTCTGTTGCACCTGGGGATGGGAATCAGAGGATGGTTGTGGCTGGAAGGGATCTCTGAAGATCATTGAGTCCATCCCCCTGCCAAGGCAGGGTCACCTGCAGCAGGTGACACAGGACCATGTCCAGGTGGGTTTGGGGCATCTCCAGAGAGGGGGACTCCCCAAACTCCCTGAGCAGCTGGCCCAGTGCTCTGCCAGCCTCGGAGTAAATGCTGATGTGTGCTTAACTGTGCTAAGAATAACTTTGACAGTTTTACTTAAAAATCATTTAAGTTATTCTTATCAATATTATTAGTATTTACAATGGAGATGGTATGATAGAATCTGGCACTTCTCCCAGACATTAAAATATTTAAGGTTGCCTCGGGATTATGGAATGCTCATAATAATCATGAAACATTTATTGTCTTTATCTGCATATCTTTATCTGCATCAATGAATAAAAACAGGAGAATCTTTAAAAAAAAACCCAAAATATTATCCTGCTGTAATTTGTAGTTGCTTTCTTTTATCTGTTTAAGATGCTTGAATTCACTTTGTTAGTAAATTTCTCTTGACAAGCACACCTATTTATTATTACTAAGCATCCTTTTTAGGAATGTCTGAAATGACACATGTATTGTTTTAAATAAGATCATAGAGTTAATTTTTAACCACACAAGCAATGTAGTAAGAATGGAGTGAACAAAGCATAATTAATAGTTTTATGCCATTCGTCAGGATCATTTTATTTGCTGCCAGCATATGCCAAATAAAAATATTTTTACTTCAATTAAAATTTTTAAACAAGATTAAACTTGTTGTCATTTAAATCATAGAACATATATGCTTGTAGGTATTGTGTGCATTCCTGAATGCATGTCTTTAAGCAAGGAAATGTCACTGGGACAGGAGAGGTGTGTGAAAACTTCACCACTCTGCAGAGGAGAAGGAAACTGCTGTTTCTGCATTCCCCTACTTACAGTGGCACAACTTCCCTCTGGTCTCAAATACATATTTCATTCTCCCCTGGAAAAAGAAGTGAAAGAAATAACTCTTACAACCCTTAAAAGAAATAGCACTGCATCTATATTTTGTGTTTTATAGAAAAAATTATTATGCCACAGTATATTAGGTGCACGAGGAAAAAATTTTATAATTCTCTGTGTGTGCTTTTTTATTCTTGCTTAGGGCTTTATTATTATTATTGTTATTATTGTTGTTGTTATTATTACTATTATTATTACTATTAATATTAATTTGGGTGGGTTTTTTTTTTAGAAAAAAATTACATAATGTTTCACTGTATTATTGCTGCCTCACTAGACAGGATCTTATCACTGCCAGAGACTCAGCTGTCTTGCTGAGTTACTGTCACAGCAAAGGATATTTTAAACACCAAAGACCTGTTTCATCCTGAATTTGTGGCTGGTCAGAGTTTGAGTTTGGGTACCAGTGCCACCTCAGCAGTTTGAAACCAAGAGCATGACCTAGAGGAAATAAAGTAGTACATATTGTCAAACTCCTGCTTAGTAAAACACTTAAGTGCCTATTTAACTTTAAACACGCCTGAACCATATTAATTCCTTATTAATTGCTGATTTGTTAATTTTAGTGGATTTACTCTAAATGGAAGACTCAAGAAATGAAAAGCCCCCATAGGATGACAGGACTGAGGAAGATCCATACTGAATATCTGAGCTAATTCCCCTGAGGGCTCACAGCTCCCTGTTTACTTAGGCACACACCAACATGCAGATTTCCTGTCTTGTGTACTGCAGAGCATGGGGGAAATCCCAGATTATTTGCTATCAGGTTGGCACCTTTGATGTGATACTGTGCAGAACCATCCAAAAACAATTAATGCCCCGAATGAGGCCACACCAATCCCACTCTAATGGGGCTGTCTCAGTGCAAAGCTTCACCGTGGTTCATCAACAGTGCTGGTAATGCTACCAAAGATTGCAATGTTATTAAGGGTTTGGAACAGAGATTGTGTTGCTTAATTCTGAAACTGATGGTTGGATAGCAGCAGATAGGAGGGTCTTCTGCAAATGCATGGTATTTTCAAATGAGCTTAAATAACTGAATGGGACTGAGCCACAGAGCAGCATTGTAGATGGTAGATATGCAGTGAGGCCTTCAACTTCCACTTTTCTAATTGTCAATTTAGCTTTTGGTTTTTGTTCCATTTCTAGACCAGAAAATCTTCATCAGTTTCTGAATTTAGGTTCAGCAGAAATGGGGAGAAAAGATATCTGGATTTAAAACACTAGCAACATAAATAACAATTTAAAAATACTTCTAAGAGGGCACATATAGTAAGAATGGGGAAATCACCATAAATTATACCTCTCAGGTTATTAGAAATATTTTTACTTGCTGAGGAAATGACAGTTACAGAAAAAAAACCAGCTTAATGAAATGCATTTTTACCCTTGGAAAAACAACAGAGAAAGGAGAACTGGCCAGTGTTCAGCACAGGTACAAATTAAAAGGGCTCTCAGAGATGCAGGATTAACAGTGATGTAGTCAGTATATTTATTGGATTTATTTGCATTGTAAAGACTCAACTGAAGGTGTGTATGGAATGCAAAATAAAAGGCAAAAATATATATGACAACAATTTTTGCTTAGTCAAGTCCACATCAACCTTGAGGAATTCTGGAGATGTAACTGATTTAGACAATTAGGGAGCCAAAATCCAAATATACTCAGTTTTGACAAATTTCCTGCAATGCAATTTTTGTAGAATTATTTGTAGTATTCATAACCATTGACTGAATTCTAAATTAGCTACAATGACTTGATAGAAAGGACTTCAGTGCAATTCAGATCTTACTGAAGTCTGGGAGTTTTGCCTTTCCTTGCAGTGGGGATGGAGTTTCCCCATGATCATCATTACTGCAGACAGCTCAATAGAAAAGGCTGCTCAGTTCACAGCGGTGGTCTGAGCAGCCAGCAAAATGGTTGGGTGAATAAAGAATGGCTTGGAAAATAATACTGCAAATATTATGATACCTATCAGTGATATCCTCTTGCCTTGAATACACTGCTGAATTCATACCCTTCTGCTTGAAAATTTACATCATAAACAGAAAGAGTAAAGTAATAGTAATAAAAAGTGTCCAGAAGCATAGAGAATTTTATGTGCAAAGAGTAAAAATAGAGGGGCTTATGGTAAGTGAATGAGAAGATAAGCAAGGTTTTGAGAAGATAAGGTTTTGTAGGAAAGGAATGATTTACACAAGGTAAATCTGATTTCTTTCTTGGCTTTGTCCCATACTGCAAACAGAGAAGTGTGCCAACAAATTGAAAATTGATAAGGAGGAGGTTTTGATGGTATGCAGGATAGGGCTTAGAGCTAAAGAAAGTCTTTGGAGTGAAAAGTGTGGCAGGATTAGAAAACAAAACTGGACATCCATGTTTGTAAGGCAGGTCTCAGAGATGCAGTGCATTAAAGTAGGAAAGCACGAGGCAATACTAATCATTTGACAAGATTTTCTGTCTCCCATTAGGATAGTGATGATTTTGGTGGTTTTTTTTTTTGTTGTTGTTGTTGTTGTTTTTTGTTCTCCACAAATCCTGGAGCCTGTTTGCCACAGGCAACGGGCTGGGATACTGAATTAAGCCACACACATGTGTGATTTGTGTGACTTTTCTCTCCAGCACCTGGGGCTGTCACGGGGGTGCAGTTTTGGGGGAGGGAGTTGGGCTGCTCAGAGTGTCACAGGCTGGCTCTGCCCTCCTGCTCTCCAGAGGTGAGGAGCTCTGGGGAAGTCTTCTGCTGAAGGACAATTCTCTTCTCCCCATCAGAGTCTCAGGGAATCTTTAGCCTTTGATGGAAAGTAGGATTTACATTTACATATTTGTCTTTTGTCTTGGGACAATAAACAAAGTCCTAAAGTAAAGACTACAGACTCTTCTGGTAGATAGCTTCAGTCTCTAAATGTCCTATTTCAGCTTTTCTAGTAAAACACATTCTGACTTGATGAATGCTTGTGCCACACAATGTAGTACGAGTGGATTCATAACATCCAGATGTTGTCAGTGTGTAAGTTTGGGGTTTTT